GTCTACAATCACAAACAATTATATGCAGATAAATAGCAGCTTACATTGTTGTCTGATGAAAAGAGAATGAAAAAATCCATCTGGGTTTAATAACACAACAGCACCCCTTATTTAATTCTCCAGGTGTTGCTCGCCGACTTCAAGATGGACTGTGGGTTTAATTATCTTAGACGTAAACAGGATTTCCACAATCAAGATCCAAAATACTCAGTCACCCAATGTGCAGTCCAAAAAAAGCACATTTAGCATACAAGGAGATAACATCTGATGCATTCTGCCAATTCATTGTGATTATTGAGTAAAATGTCCTTGTCTCAAATGAGTATAGAAATCTTTCGTGGTAATTGTAGATAAGTAAAACAAAATAAATCTTACTACTGGTGTATGGGCTAACACTGAGTAAACCACCCACTCAAATGCTTAACTTAGATGTGTCCTGACCTGTTGTTAAGCTGTTGGATAAAATAAAGACATTTAAGATATTATGAATGGCTAGATTAAACAGAGACTTGGAGAGGTGTGGCTTTTCATCCCTATGGGGAATTTCTCACACCATGGTCAAGCTCTGTGGAGATAGAAGAAAAAAGCTGAAGGAAGGAAGGGTTGATTGTACCAACTAAAGAACATATTCTCCCTGCTGGATTACACTCTTTTCCAGAACATTGCACTGCTATTATGATGAAAAGCAAAGAATATGCTTGAAAAGATAACATTCATTCTTCAGAAAATGTCTCAAAGTGTCCTAAGAGAAGCCAATGTATTGGAGTAGTAGGAGGGAAAACACAAAGAAGGGTAAAACTAATGACATGTTACAAGAATAATTCAGAATTAAGTTGATTTTACTTGATTTGTGTGCACCAAACTGTACACATCTGGTCTTGTTTCAATTTAGGAAAACAAGGGAAACGGTTGTGGGACAAGTGGAATTATCTAACAACCTCAATTGTTTTAAGACACATTCATCTTAAAACCTAAAGCTGTGAATAAATGTAATTTTTTAAATGTTTAATTGCAGCTTGGCTGAACCGAATATGGGAGTCATGGTACAATCTCTGGAAGATGGTTCCAAGAATGTGTAGTCAAATCCGTGACCAGTTTATTAAGACTGTACAGATTTAAAGAAAGAACCTACATAAGACAATGAAGGTTTCATTTAACCATTAGCTCTGGCTGAAAGAGAAATGTGATTGTCGGTCAATCTCACAGCTTAAATAGCTTTTTCTGAAATATGACAAAGAGGAGAAAACTGCTGTGTAAGTTCAACAAGTTCAACATTCTTTCAAAGTTTTTAGATAAGAATAAAACAAAAACTCTCCAGTATCAAAGACGTATTTCACTTCAGGGTGATAGCAGGACACCCCATCTAGCCACTCAGAGAGAATCAGGACAATCTGATGTAGAGTTTCAAAATAAAAGACCTTTGAAGTCTCATATATGAGCTATCGTCCCTCTGTTTTTAGATAAGCATAAAACCAAAACTCTCCAGTATCAAAGACTTATTTCACTTCAGGTTGATAGCAGGACACCCAGTCTAGTCAGTCAGAGAATATCAGGACAATATGATGTAGAGTTTCACCCTGAAGTGAAATAAGTCTTTGATACAGGAGAGTTTTTGTTTTATTCTTATCTAGAAACAGCGGGACAATAGCTCATATATGAGACTTCAAAGGTCTTTTATTTTGAAACTCTAAATCAGATTATCCTGATATTCTCTGAGTGACTAGTTCGGGTGTCCTGCTATCACCCTGTAGTGAAATAAATCTTTGATAATTGACAGTTTTTGTTTTATTCTTATCTAAAAACAGAGGGATGATAGCCCGTATATGAGATTTCAAAGGTCTTTTATTTTGAAATTCAACATCAGATTGTCCTGATATTTTCTGAGTGACTAGATGGGGTGTCCTGCTATCACCCTGGAGTGATATTTGTCTTTGATACTGGAGAGTTTTTGTTGTATTCTTATCTAAAAACAGAGGGATGATAGCTCATATGAGACTTCAAAGGTCTTTTATTTTGAAACTCCTTAAGTTTTACATTCACTCAGTTATAATGTGGTAGTTATACGTAGTTTGTTTTAAATAATTATTGATCACATTATATAGTACATATTTCTTAATTCAAACTTCATATGAATATGTTTGGTATGTTTGACCGAGTAAGCGCTTTTATTTTGAAGGCAGTTTTTCCATGCCTCTACCGTAATGCATAGGATATTCGCACACCGCAATACAATGTGCGGGCTGGCTTGACTGTGTTTTCCGAAGTGGAGGCTGGCTTGACCGCAGTAAATAAATACAGGTTGTAATCACATCAAATATTTCTTCACAGTTGTAAACATCCCGATTCCCCACGATTCCTTTTAGTGCTTTTAATGGTGGTACTGCCAATGGTGATGCAAAGTTATTTACTAAGTACCACAGCACAGCAGCACAATGGTGGTAAGATAAAACCAAAGAAGGACATTTTAAACAAAGAATCACAGCAAGCAAGAGGTTGTAAAATACTTTTCCCGCACATTAACTTTTACCTCCAGGATCTGTCAGGACTGGAGTTCCAGTAAATCTCTGTGAAGATCTGACCTCAAATTCACCTAAAACTCCCAAAACATCATAATTTGCAGCAACTGTATCGTAATCATCAGTGGCGATTCTAGAGAATGTGGGGGCCCTAGGCAAACATTCACTGGGGGCCCCTCGAACCAGCTTTTCATCACCACGCACAGCCAACAGCCCCCCCGGAGTGGAGTGGAGCAAGGCAACGAAACATAAGAAGCAGCATTTTACGGTGCAATATGCATCGGGCCGCCTTGAGGGGGTTTCCCGACATGTCGTTGCAGTAAATTAAAGGGTGTTTCATGTTGTCGTTGCTGTGGACCTTCTTAATCTAATTTATTTGGGGACCCCCTTCTGGTCCGGGGACCCAAGCAATTGCCTGCCTTGCCTGTCGGCAAGCGGCGCCCCAGGTAATCATTGATCATTTTGAGGCGAAAAATAAAGAGAATGAAGAATGGAAAGAAAGATTACAAGCAGTTTTCACACTAGATTTATGTTTACCTGTCTATCCTGTGTTTTTTAGTCTGTGTTTGATCTGTTCAGGAAGGCAAAAACTGGCCTCTCCAAGTCTAGCAGACAGACATTTTTGGTTTTCTGAACTGCTCTTATGGCGCATTTCCACTACACGGTCGGCCTCGGCCACGCTCGGTACGGCTCGGTACGGCTTGGCCGCGTTGGGCCTTAACAGGGCCGACTCACTTCATGCTGCGCTTCCATTACAGTTTAGGAACTGGGGTAGTTACTATAGTAACGCAGTGTAGGCGGAGCCGTGACGTCATCTTCAATGAGAACTCCAGAAACACAACACAGCCGTTAGCTGTTAGCACTCAGAGCTCACAGCTCCTTATATATGTTCAGAAACTCGACAAAAGTTAAACAAGTACACACCACAGACTGCCTGTGTCATGGTGAATACAGTCGCTGCTTTATTTATGTCTGTATAGGCCGTTGTTGTGAGTGTGGACGGTCGGAGCATATACTGCGTTAGCTTAGCCAATCTCCATCTAGAAAAACACGCATTTTAAAAGGTTTTTCGCCTGCCGTCTGTCTGCAGACTTGACAAAGCATTAATTCATGGTTTATACTAACCGGTATCAGTATGTTGTTACTTCGGCATCATTTTGAAACGTGTATTACAATTAAATCACGGTCAAATATGTCCATCTTGTTGTAGTTGTAGCCCCCTTGCCAGCGCTCCTCTCTCTAGTTTAGCATACTCAGCCCGACTCAGCCCTGTTTGTTGGCCCCGATAGAACCACAATTTTGTCGGGCCAGAAAAGAGGTGAAAAAGTGGCCCTGGGCCAGGCCGGGCCGTAACTAGGCCTAGTGGAAGCGCAACCAAAAACGGGCACGGCACGACACGGCACGCTTAAAGCGTGCTCCGCGCTGTAGTGGAAATGCGCCATTAATAAACAGAAGAGGTTGTGCAACCTGAAAAAAGTTATAGACACTCTGAATCCTTTAGTGATTTAAAGGCAGTCTAATGAGGTAAGAGAATGACAGGTCTCCCTTGAAAAAGAGATTGATGATCTCAATGGGACCACCTGGTTAAATAAAGGTTTAATAATAATAATAATTACAGCCATTACTTCAAGGAATTGCTTTTATAAAAAAGTATAGTTGCAAACCAGAGTGGACAATGTTTAGGCCAATGCAGAATTGTGTTTAAGTTCCTGTCAGTGCCTTACTTCTTTTTGGTATGGCACATTAGTGTGACTATATTGCACTCTAGTGGTCCAAAAATGTTGTTACACTTCCCGAGCTGATCATGCTGGCCTTTAGATGAACATGGTTGTAGGCTATACAATTTACCAACAAATATAATATTGAAATACATCTGTATCTTTTTTGTATGTTTGTGCAAGAACTGTAATATTTATTTGGTTTGTTTTTAAGTTTGTGAATATCTTTCTAACTTTACCTTACTAGAAAGGCTATAAAGCTAGTCTTATCAAATCGGCTCTGAGAGGGCATTAAAGCCTGTCTCATAAAGGCCTCTCTGTTGTCATTCCAAAGATATCTCAGAAATGCTATCTATCATCAAGTGTCTTTCAGCAAACGAGGGCTTTTGTTATGAAATAACTTCCGACAGTTTCGCCCCTCCCCTCGCTCGAAGATATTTTGGCCGTTTAGTAAGGTAAAAAGCAAAGTACAGCACAGTGCAGTATATCACTGCCTTCTTCTATGGTTTAAGAAACACAATCAAATAAGACAAAACATACAAAGTGTCTGTTTTTAAAGCACGGTAGCATATACATAACAAAAGGCCATGCAACAAGTGAAGTTACAAATTCTGCAAAAAAAATAACAATTAGCATCTTAACAAAATTATATTTGTACGGACTCAATGCCATTAGTACGCTCCAATGGTCTGGTTTCGGTTAATAACTCGGGCTGCTCCTTTAATGAAACAGCTTTGCGACAGTCGTTACGACACTAGCGAAAAAACATTACGACTCTTTTGGAGGCTCATTCAAAATGGAGTAAAGCTTACTGACACAAATATAAACATACAGCTTTATACTACTCTTTTATTTATTATAACACAAACAGGTTGTTACTCATTAGAAAACAAGTAGCTCCTGCACAATGACAGAAGAAAAGAAGACGGGCTCTTTGGGTTTCTTTTCGAGCTACGATGATCTGAGCGACAGCAGCGATGGCAGCGACTCCGACGAGGAGGGGGAAAGTCGGAAGAAGAAGCCGGGGACAGACGCTCATGGCGGGGGAGCACAGTCCTCACAACACGGGACCAAACGAGCCGCCGGTGGAGCTCCGTTACCCAAACCTGAAGAGTTGTTCGGCTCCGTGTCCAAGCCTGCCTTCCTCTACAACCCGCTAAACAAGGAGATAGACTGGGAGAGTCTGACGGTCAAAGCTCCTGAAGAGGTAAAAACACTAGTTAGTTAGCGATAATTTAGTTAGCTGTGTTACTACTATAGTCGATACTCCATAGCTAAGGCAGAGCTGATGATATTTTAAGTGGCTTTATGCTTGTAACTACGTAACGTTTAAACCTATCGGAAATGTGGTGTCTAGTTCAGGAATTGTTCTGAGTCTTTCCCTTAGTCAGTTTTGTACATCTTTTTTTATGAAGCCTGCCAGAGAGTTCAAGCCATGGAAGACAAATGCTGTGCCCCCTCCTGAGAGCTACTCTTCAGAGCCAGAGAGGAAGAAGGGACCTCCCCCAGGCATGGACATGGCTATAAAGTGGTCCAATGTGTACGAGGACAATGGGGAAGATGCACCGCAGCCTTTTGGTGGCACCGCCCGTTTCTTACCCCCCGATGAGGAACTCTCTGAGTCAGGTTAGTCCCGTATGAAATGACAACAGGGCATTTTTACTTTCTTATAAGTATGAACAAGCGAATTGAGCTGGTTTACTACTATCCTAGTTGTAGATTTACTGTGCCAGATAGTGTAGTAATGTCAACAGGCCTGGACCATGTTTAAAGCATGCCTGCTCAGTGAGTAATACAAAGTAGGGATGTAAATCACTACCACCATAACATGATATTATATTGATTATTTGGACAACAATGCAATATTTGTTGATGACACAATGTCTGCCATGATACAATGCAAGTGCCTGCGAAATATATGAGAGCACATCCTGTGCCCTTTTAACACAATCAGCCACATTTATATAAACTCACAAAAAGCAACTACAATATGATGCGACCATTTAATTATTGGGCTCTTTCAGGCATTTAAATGGAAAAAATGAAACTATTGTTTTTACTAAAAGTAGACCTGTTCATTATAAAGTGCCACATTTCTCATGTTTTAGCACTTTTAAATCTTTTGGAAGGAGTTGCGTTCAGATGTTTTTTACTTTGCATAGATGATATTGGGTAGAGGATCAATAAATCGATACACCGATCCATCATCCCAGTCATAAGAACATGTTTCTTTGCATTTTAATGTATACCACATGGAATATTTAGATGAAGCAATATCCAGCATAAATTGTAAATATATCAAGTGCCTGCCCTTTGTCAATTAAAGCCTAAAAAAAAACTGTGCATTTGCGATAAGCGAGTTGACTGAGTTGGCATAAACCCACTCATTGTATTGGTAACTGGAGGTGCACAACACATCCTCAGACAAAACAAGAACAATTTAAAATAAATGTACACTTTCATTGGCTTCACTTTGCACCCACAGTGAAATAGAGCCTATTGATGTGTTTAAATAGAGTGCTGTTGAGTAACTCAAACATCCTTATTTTCCACTCTTCATCCATCCCCTCCATAAATCCCCAAACCCTCCATCACCGCTCTTCAGATGATGAATCAGACAAGCAAGGCCTGTCTTCCAAGAAACGTCGAGTGGAGACCTTTAAGCAGAAGGAGAAGAGGAAGAGGGACCAGGGACAAGCGACCTCTGACAAGAATTTTGTAGAGGAGGAGAAAAGGATCCTCAGGCAAAATGATGATTGAGACCTAAACCCTCCTGCAACAAGGAATCTGTTTCGAATTTAAATATTGTATGTCAGCCGAGACTGCTCACAGATATTAGCACAGTGCTCATTGCTCAAGTAGGTGGTATGCTGCTAACATAAAAAGTAATTCTACCTTTTATGTTGATCATTTGCAATATTATCATATTTGTTTTGTTTTCAAAGCACACCAAAAAGTAGAATTCATGACAGTCCCACTGTTTCATATTTTTAATCAAGAACTTCTGGTTTTCCCTTAAAAATGCAGGTGTTTGACAGTGTGGAGGTTATTTTCATAGTTTTGGTCATCATACCTCATGGTTTTAACCCACCCGTGCTTTTCCAAGACACTGGGATGAAGGGTATTTCAAGACCCTTTACAATGTGAACAGGGCATTATCCAACAAGTGATAAGACAGGTGTGATCTCAGTCTGACATCACCTTTGCTTTACTTCCAAATATGTAGTCTAGACAACAGGGTGAATGATACTTGATTTATCGATTGCGCTTGGTTGGGTGTCCCTGGCTCTTTTCAAAGAGGCTGGTGCATACCATATTATCATAACCTAATAATAAAGAAGGCCAAAACTACAATAAATGTAATAAAGGGTTGAGTCTGTGCTGACACATTGAACATAAAGGAACATAAATCTGCTTAGTTGGCTTTGCCTCCTGTTAGCTTTTATTTAATGAGGTAAAATAGCAGTGACGTCCGGCTGTGGTTGTTTACTCTGTGTTATTCTTGTATCATGTTAAATATCTAATCACAGCTGACATATGAAATATGTGTTTGTGTTAATATGTTGACTTTCCTTAAAATATGTGATTCAAATGGCTGTAAATCTGTTACTGCATTTTAAAATGTTGCTTGTTCTTCCTGCTTATGGGCACTAGATGTCGCCCTTGAGCTAATTTAGAAAGCGTCCTTCCTGTTTGATCTGAAATCTGCTGCACACTGTGGGAGCATTCAGCACCACCAGGGTCGGTTTTTATTGTTCATCAGGAGTGGATTTCTGATCTTTGATATGGAAGTTAGTCTCATCTCAGTTCTCTTGAGATACTTGATGCATACAGACAGTTTATTCCAGTATGTACCTTGTATTACACAACATTTTACGTCCGGTGACATTTATCCTCTTGCATGTTTAGTATCAGAGGATGTTTGAAACATTGTACTGTTTTATGGACCTTTTGTTTCTGCCAACAGATGTCTTATTCTGTGTAAAAGGTTGTATATGGATACTTTTATAGTTTGTACTGCTCATCATAAATCACTTAGGCAATAAAAAGTATTTTACTGAAGAGCGCTTTTCTGTCAGTCACTTGTATTGAACTAATTAGACACAAGGACAGAAAATGCTACGTAAAATTAACTTTTTATCACAATCACTGGAGAACAAAGTCTTGAAAATGGTCTAAATCCCTAATGTTAGAATTCAGCTATTAGTCAATACATTCCCAAATTCATTCCTTACATTTCTGCAACCATTGAAGCAAATATAATGGTTTCCAAGTATTGAGAAAAATAAAAGTTTCCACTTTGCAACAGTTTAGTGATCAGAGGAATTCCAGACCTATCTGTCATTGTGGGTTGTCATGATATGATGGTAAATATGCCTCTGATAAGATTCCAGCCTCCAGGCATGTGTCTGGCCTTGCCTGAAATGCGTACCTGGTCCTGCACAACAGAAGCAGGCTGATTTTATCAGGCATATTTACAACAAAACAACTCCTCTCTGTGTACTGACTGTATGAGCAATGGCCAGCGAGTTCACATCCATCAGTGTTTTAGAGCCTTGCTGTCAGTCTTGTGGCTGGAAATGTCCCAGAAAATACATCTTTTGCAGTTGTCTATTCTTAGAATCATGTGGAAAACATAAATTCAGGCTTTTGTTTTGGCTTCGAATTGTTTCTCTTTGATATGATATCTACAGCATTCCTGGACTGTCGCCGCTTTGTATAATAGAGATTGTGTTACCAGAGCAGAGCCTGTTTTGGGTTCTACTGAATGTCACACATGGCTGACCTTATCTTCATTTAATAATAGAGAAAATCTTGGTCTTATGTTACACTGAGCAATCAGAGCATCAATCACTGAAGTCTAAAAAAGCCAGCAAAACACTAAAAGTCTAAGTAAAAATAAAGGGTTTACATTCCGTTCACCACCGGAGGTTTTTAACTATTGAGACTTATTAACTAAATTGGGTAAAAGATTTTCTATAGCTGGGAGTGTTTCCTGGTCCGGTCAGAGCTATATTGTCAGTCACACTAACCGTTCATCACAGTGACACATTTACTGGAAGGTCAAGACCTCATGATAGCTATTGAGCATTCAGGGACCTTTACTGAGCGGGCTGCCTACAGCTGCTGCTATCTGACTTATGACATATTCACACAGTCAGCATAATTTCACAGCTTGTATGTTAATTCAATTATGCCTGTTGTCTGGTGCTGCAGGAAGAATACCTTTCTCAAGTCTTTGTCTTAGATCGTAAAAGATAACAAGACTTTGAGTCTAAATACTAATACTCCAACAGTAAATGCTATAATGCTAGTAGCAAGTAATATTTACCGAGTTCATCACCTTAAATTATGTTGGCAGCATCTTAGCATGTCATTATTGGGCAAATTGGAATGTTGATGTAATATCTCAACCACCAAAGTCAGTAGAACTTTTCCTTTAGTGACCCTTCAAAACCAACACTATTTATGTCCAATGGTTGCCACAGAGAAAATGTCAGTGGATCCTCATCTGGGAACCATACATGTCTGTAAAAGATTTCATGGAGAATTCTGGATCAAAGAGGTGGGCTGAGCGACATACAGGAATTGCAATGGATAAAGCCACGGTTCTAGTGTGTGGCCAAAAGTTGAAGGATGTGTTCTTGTTGCATACACTACCCCATGCCTGATGCTGGTTTCTACACACTGACTGACTGGCTTGTTGACTTGCCCAAAACCTTCCCTCATGCTTGGATATTTTCACATGATGAAGGCACTCAGAGAAAAGAACGTTCTTTGGCAGCTCAGAGATGATAAAGAACGGTAGCAAGAGACAAACAGTCTGACCTCTCGTCATGATAAACATGTCAGAGGTTGTCTGTTGATAAGGATATGGAACGGACCCAAAGGTGTGTGTGTGTGTGTGTGTGTGTGTGTGTGTGTGTGTGTGTGTGTGTGTGTGTGTGTGTGTGTGTGTGTGTGTGTGTGTGTGTGTGTGTGTGTGTGTGTGTGTGTGTGTGTGTGTGTGTGGTGTGTGTGTGTGTGTGTGTGTGTGTGTGTGTGTGTGTGTGTGTGTGTGTTGCTTTGCTGCTTTGCTCAATGGTATATCGCAGTAAAATTAATATCTTTAAACAGAAATTGCACCCTTTTTGATATAAATGTCCAATTCATGATAACAACTAATCATGAAATTGATACAAAATAAATAGGATAATTCTAACTAGGAAATAGACATTTATTTTTAAGCTAATGTTGATCATTTTTCCCTGTGAAAATTTGAAAAGTACCCCCTTAGACATTTATAAACGTGCTATAATCTAATCTAATTGCTGCTGTTCTTTATTTATTTATTATCAATTTGCATTCTTAATGTTAATCATTGAAAAAGATTCACAGCACTTCCTGGCATCTTTGATAAGCGAAGGATTTGCTTTCGTTTTCTCTATTCGCAGTTTAAGTCAAATGCAGTTCACTATGTGTCTTTATTAGTTTATGAGTCCCACTGGCAAAAACAAATAAAGTATTAAAGGGACGGCATAATGGAGTTTCAGCATCACATGCCAAGGATAGATGAAGTATCATTTTCCTGACTAACATCGTTCAGTTCAGCCATCATGAGTCACTGCCAGTTCTTCAGAGGAGCACTTCCAGCTAAGTATGCCATATTTGGTATTTATTCTCACCATGTCCCTTTATACAACACTCACAGATGTTCCTGGCAACACAAAATAGAATATTACCCAGATAAGAGCTTATCTGGGTTCCAGACAAGAACATATGTTTGCTCGTACCAACTGAAACACTGTTTGCTGATGTCGACACCAATCAGGTCTTTGGCCTTTTATTAAAATGTGGACATGATGTTGAATATGGATTACAATCTGTGTCCCTAGCCTGATCACACAGATGCAGTGCAATACTTTCTCATATGATTCACTTAATAACACTTGTTTGCACTTTGTCACAAAATAGCTTGTAAATACCTATCTAGATAACTTTTCTAATATGACAAGGACTGTCTTTTGGGGGAATAGGATTTCTTGTTTTTCTCTTAAACATCAATGTATATTGATAAAAACATATTCAAATCTGCTTCTTTGATTAGACACTGGTGTGGACAAAGATGCATTTTTCCTTTAGATTTTTTTCTAAATAGTCAAATATGAGTGAATAGCTATGGCAATAATTTGACTCTGGAGCGTAAAGCAGCAGGCCCTTGGCAACACTATACCATCACAGAGATCATTCAGACTGATTTATACCCTGAGAAAGGCTTGTGTCTTAGGACATAAATTTAGTTGCGGTGTGCATTGAGAAAAGGGAAGGCCCATAAACCGGTTGGGACAGAGGGAGAGAGAAACAGAGAGAGGGGGAACAATGGGCTGCCATCAGGAGGAGAGCCCCAACAGCTGCAGAGCCCTGTATACCAACACACACTCATGAGCACACACATATTACTTTCCTTTCTGTCTCTGTGACACACACACACACACACACACACACACATACACACACACACACACACATACACACACACACACACACACACACACACACACACACACACACACACACACACAGAGAGTTTTCTTCTTCATACACTTGTCACAGCCATCTGAAAAGGGGCCAGCTAAGCAGATGTTCTGCCACTGCCTTCACAAAAGGCACAAGTTACTATTGGAGGGAAAATAAGGGTGACAAACTTCCTCATTATATCCTGCACTGTTGAGTCAGCATGCAAAGTCTCTTGACAAGTGCTTATTTTGCCCCGTTTAACTCACTACATGTTTATTTTATGTAAAATTAAGTTAAAGTAGTGAGCTGTCACTGCCGCAAGACCTGTATCCGAGACATCTTGGTTCCTACCGAAGCATGGCATGTAAATATATAACTTTCACAAATATATAGTTGAATGTTTTAAGCAGGCTAAAAAAATGACCTAAAACATCTGGCACTGCAGTTTTAAGTATACTTTATTGAAATAGGTAAAAATTGTGCATCAGTTGTGGACCATTTTCATCCGTGGATTATAACACGTTTTTGTTTCGGCACCATTATTGTGTACTGGGCATTGACTTAACTATGCTCCTGGCTTTTTGTTGTGTTTTCAACTAAAATCAGTGAATCATTATTTGGAGAATAAAATAATCTTCAACTTTTTAGATTCCCAACAATGTATTAAAGTTAAAGTTAATACACTTGTTATCGCTTCTCAAATGTGGATATTTGCTGTAGTCTCTATGTTATTACTTTAAAGATCTATGTGTTCTAAACTGCTGGTTAAACCAAACGAGCAATTTCAAAAGGTTAAACTGGGAAATTGTAATTTCACCTACTATTTTCTGAATGGGTCAAACGAATAAATAAGTAAAGCAAAAATACCTCAACATTTCACTCCAAAACAGCACTTAGGTGTATAAACCACCCCCCTCTTACAAAACAGTTTTCCCTTTTGCCATACATCAACACTCCTTGGCTGCTTGTATAACCTCAGGTACTAAGATATATCACACAAGATCACATTTTCAGGAATGCAAGACATATCCATAATAATAGATGTTATTTTTCAAAAAGATATCGCTCATGCCCCGCAGTGAATGTGTTGAAAAATGGTTTGTGTCCTTCCTTAGGAACATAGCCTGTTTTCCCTAACGCCCTCTCCTCTCCCCCTTGCTCTCCCCTTTTCTCTCTTTCTCACACAAACACACACTATGCAGCCTGCAGGTTTTGACCTGTAAATAACTGCCCAGACAGGGTCTAGTCAGTCAGATGGGGCGGCAGGCCGAGGCGTCAGGGCCTACACGGCTCCTGCAGAGCAATAACAGATGCTTATCATGTTTTACTGAGGGTAGTGGTGGTGGAGGAGAAGGAGGGTGAATGTGGGCCCCTGTCGATTAATGGCTCTGACAACAAAATGCCCTCAATCATGGGTAGACATATAGTACCTTGGAAAAAACCTGAAATAGTTTTGCCTGGAGCAATAAAATGGAGTCATATCCACAAAGAGAGAGGGGGGAATGTGTGTGTAGATTTCAATGTAAGTACGTGTGCCTTTAAAGAGAGGGAGAGAGCGCATGTGCAC